CATTGTGCCCAGAGGGAGAAATGTCTGGGAAATATCTACCTAGGATCGAACTCACAGGCTCCTGATTGGGAGGTGAGAGCTCCACCTCGAGGACACCGCACCACTCACCCAATTCCTGCAGTTGTTCTTCGTACATTTTAGCCTCCAGCCCCTGAATTATCTTTGTTGCTCTTCTCGGCATTCTTCTTTTCTTCTTCAGATTCTTCTTAAGATGGCTGCCATTGTCTCCTAGCACCCAACGGGAGCTCATGGAATGAAGCCCATCATCCTTTTCCAAGCTGCAGAGTCTTTCAATTGTCCACTCACCTTGGTGTGTCCAAATTTGTACTGGCTATGGTCGATGTCCAGCGAGCTTAGAAGTTTCTCAGCCCCCTTCCGGCTGTCGATGAACTGACCCTCCGGAATGGCCGCTGGGTTTAGGATCCGGTACCTCAAAAGGAAAACAAGGAAGGGCCGTAAGTCCCTCTTCTCATCCAGTGCCCAACACAGGGAGTCCTCGACTTGCAAACATTTATTTAGTGACCATTCAAAGTTACGTCGGCCCTGAAAAAAAGTGACTTACTGCCGTTTTTCACACTTAACAACCGTTGTGGTATCCCCATGGTCATGTGATCAAAATTTGTGCACTTGGCCACCGATTCATATTTATGATGGTCATGTGATCACCGTTTGCGACCTTCCCCACAGGCTTCTGAAAAGTAAAGCCAACGGGGACAGCCGGATTCACTTAATGACCACATGATTCATTTAACAACGGTGGCAGAAAATATCGTGAAATGAAGCAAAACTGACTTACCAACTGTTTTGCTTAGCGATGGAAGTTTGGGACATAGTTTTGGTTCTATATGTAGAGGACTACTTGAGGATCTGATTGAATTTGACAGCTTAAGTCTTTTAAATAATTGGCAAACCAACATATTGAATTTTTCATTCAGAAAACACTTTTTTTTTTTTTTTAGAAATAAGCATTTCATCATCATCATCCTCTTTTAACAACCCCATTATCCCTTGCGGGATGGAGTCTGGGCTATTAAACGGTGCTGAGTGTTTACGGGCCGGGTGCCCTTCCTGTCACCAGGGCGGAGTTTTGTTCAGCAGATATATTCTCATTGCTTCCAGAGACAGAAATATCTGCCTCTACCTAGGATCGAACTCACAGCCTCCTGATTGTGAGGTGAGGGCTCCATCTCTACGCCAGCGCATCACTCTTTAGAAATAAGCACTTCTGCCAACGTAAATAAGAAATGTGGCCCTTTTCACTTTTACGTAGTACAGCCTAGTCCTCGACTTACAACAGTTCATTTAGTGACCATTCTAAGTTACAGCGGCACTGAAAAAAGTGACTTATGACCATTTTTCACACTTTGACCGTTGCGGCATCCCCACGGTCATGGGATCAAAATTCAAGTGACTCACTTTTATGACTGTTTCAGTGTCCCTGGGCCACCTGATCCCTTTTTGCGACCTTCGGACAAGCCAAGTCAATGGGGGAAAACCAGATTCGCTTAACGACTGTGTCCCTACTTTAACAACTACAGGGATTTGCTTAACAACTGTGGCACATGGAAGGTCGTAAAATGGGGCAAAATTCACTTGACAAATGTCTCACTTAGCAACATAAACGTTGGGCTCAATTGTGGTCGCACGTTGAGGACTACCTATAGCCATTTCTATAACAGCAAACCTGTCTAATCGGTAACCCCCAAAATCAAAGTTTCATTTTTTTCTCTACCTTGAGCACAAAATCCAGGAACGGTTTCCAAGTAGAAATGAAAGTCATGGTGTTTTTTTTCTTTTCTTCCTTTAATCCTTCTCCAAAGCCCCTCCCCGAACCCCTGAAGTCCAGTCTTACCTTTGCCGGAAATCCCCGTACAGGATCCGGTTAGGGAATCCTTTCCGGCAGATACGGATCCCTTCCAACACGCCGTTACAACGCAGTTGGTGCATGACCAAAGGATTGTCTATCATCCCTGGGGAAGAAGGAGAAAAAGCCGGTATGTGCAAAAGTAAGAAGCCAGTCCTCACTGAGGAAGTATCGGAAGACGATGAGGTGACCTTTCCTAACAGGATGTCATCCGTAAGGATTACCGGTTCAGTATAACCAGCATTTAATATATGTGGGGATGTGCATACTTCTGGATTTATTTATTTATTCTGTTATATTATGTAGTGTATATTGGAGGTGATGACACTTGAGAGCTGAGTGCAATGAAATTTCAATTTAATGTATGCCAATTAGTGTACATTCAAAGTTATTATTCTAGTCTAGTCTAGTCTTCTGTTCTATTCCATTCCATATTTTCTATTCTATTCTATTCTATTCTATTCTATTCTATTCTATTCTATTCTATTCTATTCAATTCAATTCTACTCTACTCTACTCTACTCTACTCTACTCTACTCTACTCTACTCTACTCTACTCTACTCTATTCTATTCTTCTGTTCTACATTCTATATTCTATTCTATTCCATTCCATGGGGCAAAACTCACTGAATAGTTGTCTCGCTGAGCGAAGGAAGTTTTGGGCTCAATTGAAGTCATAAACCGAGGACTACATGTAGTTATTATTACATCATCTTTTTTTTTAATGATCCCATAATCCCTTACGGGATAGAGTCATCCATGACTGCCTGCCCCCTCCCCTGAGATCAACCACAGCCCAGATGTGGCCCTCAATGAAATTGAGTGACCACCCCTGATGTATCCAATTCCTGCAACCAGCTTCTTTCTTTTAATGACCCCATAAATCACTTGCGGGGTGGAATCTGGGCCACTGAATGGAGCTGAGTGTTTACTGGCCTGATGCCCTTCCTGTCGCCAATGCAGAGTTTTATTCAGCAGATATATTATGACATATTTACTTCAAACTGGAAATTCAGATTCACATAGCATTTCTATAGATCACAGGATCTGCTACAAAATTAGAGTTATCCTTCTTACTAACCCACATGTGCAAAAACACACATGCAAAAACACACACACATAAGCACAAACACACACACATAAGCACAAACACACACACACACACACACACACACTACTTATTATCTGTGCATTTTCTCACTTAGCAACATACATTCTTAGGCTCAATTCTGGCCGAAAGCTGAGGACTCCCTTTATTGATAGTGTCTCGCTTTATATTTATGTATCATTAGCCACCCAGAGTTGCTAGGTGAAAATGGATGGCTGTGGATGGCTCGCCATGAAGACCTAGTAAATAAATGGGGTCCCCCTCCGGGGTGGGATGAGGGATGAGGTCTCACCTGGGGTTTTGGTCTCGTTGGGGATAATGCAACGGACAAAGTGAGGATGGGTGGAGCGCAGGTTGGTCATCAGTTTGTTGAGGTTCTCCTAGAGGACGGAAGGAAATCGGGAGTTTTAAGTTTGGCAGGAAAGGAGGATTAATGGGTTGGTGGGGAAAACTGTGGAAGGGGTGGGGGAAGGGAGAAAGAAGGGAAAGGGAGAAATGCAAAAATGGACCGATGGGATTCAGAGATTGGTGGGGAGGATTTCACTTAGGCAAGAGAGAAAGGAGATAAACAGAGAGGATGGATGGATAGATAAGGGAAGGGAAGGAGAGAGAAAGGAAGGAAGGAAGGAAGGAAGGAAGGAAGGAAGGAAGGAAGG